ACGAAAATTTCTGAAATTTTATTATACAACGCTGTTCAACCCCAGATGATATTCCACCAGACGCCCAAGCAGCATGTTTACGTAAACAAGATATCAATTCTTTCCAAACAATGTAAATTTCTTGCGATTGCCATGAAAATGACATCACGTTTACGTAAAATTTACGTTCCTATATTTACGTCACCAAAGTGTACGTGTATTTTACATAAACTGGACGTCACTCCATTTAACGTGAAGTACATGATATCAAGTTAGCGAACGAGGGTCATGAAAAACGATTTGGTCTTTTGTTTCTCGAGTTACACGCTCCAGCTTTTGGTATCTGCAGAAAATGGATTGATTGTTTAATTAATGCTTGGGATGGAGAGTGAAACTAGAGTAACAAAAGGTCAAATCGCATTTCATAACCCTCGTTCGCTAACTGGCTTCCTGTTCGCGAACTGGTGCCGCTCCCCTATACTGGTGAATTAATGGGTCATTGAATTGACCGACAGGTTCTGGAGAGGTAACGAAGAGAAAAGAACGAGATCATATGTTCGAGGACACGCTGACCGTGAACTGACAAATGTTGGGGAGCTAGTGTGGAATTTAAATTAACAAGGATTTGACAAGAGAGTTATCGCGAATATTGAATGCAACCAAAGAGTGAGATACGAAATGCGCCTGCGCAAATGGCCCCTGCGCCTGCGCTATGGACTTGCGCTTGCGTGTTGGGTCTGCGTCTAACAGAGACTCTCCTTTGTGGGTTACAAAGTCAGGATCCCTTTCAACACGTGCGCGTACATCCTTGTGAATCCACATCTGGGTGGACGAGAGCCCTTGGCGTACGCAGGCGCACGTCCATAGCGCAGGCGCATTCCATGCCCCATCATTTCGTAGCAACCAATTGCGATTACTGTCATCCCAAGTTCAAGAGTTCATCATGCTCGAAGAGTGCAAGCCTGATCCCCCTTTCTGCATATTTGTGTGCTTTTTACATGCTGGATTCTATCTTGACGCCAGAGAGAATGTACTTTGCCCCTCCCCATTATTTTCTGAGCCATGTATATCCTTGGATAGATATCCAGGTCTACCTGATTCCATACACATGTTGCAACCATGCAGTGCAGTTGAACCAAAATATCAAATAACTATCAGACAACTATAAGACAACAATTTATAATAATAAATATCAGACAACCCAAGTAGGTTTTTTAACCAAAACAATTCCGTTGGACACACTCATGGACACTTGGACATCGACTGTATATCTACTTTGGACATTCAATATCGTCCAAGAATGATCCTTGGACATGTTCATTGGATGGCCTATTGGATGTCCTTTTTCATATCCATTGGAGATTCCCTACGGGAAATTCATTCCTATTGGATGACCATGGAGGGGTGCAAGCAAATATTGCTATCCCCCAGGTAGCAATGGAGGAAAATTTGCATGCATGGCAATTATTGAATATTCATAGCAAGGGGAATGCCAGCATTTTTCGTCGATTATCAATCGCACAGTTCAGAAACGGTAGGCTCATTCTCCCACATCCCTAGAGGGATCTGAAAGAGAAGAGTTATGATGGATGAAAAATAGAGCTTTCTTGAAAAGAGTTCTCTTAACTTTCTGTCCTATCCTACCGATAAACAGGTTGTGCTCCCCATCTCCCCATCTCCACGAATGAAAAGCTAAGGGATGCCCTTAGACTTACCTCACAAGGGGAACCCTACTCTCTCCATGCATTGTGCAAGAATTGCCTAGAGCAGGGCTTTTTCCAACCAAATTTTTCCAAATGGGGTCGCGACCCCATTTGGGGTAGCCGAGATCATATTTGGGGTCGCGAACCGGCAACTAAATGCCAAGTTATGTTTTTCTTTGCGATTTTAGTGCATGGGTATGAGAGCCTGTCGAACTTCAGCCAGTGCTTGGGGTCCTGAATGGTAAAATCGTGATTTTTGGGGTCGCGCGTGAGAAAAGTTGTTAAGTCCTGGCCTACCGTAGAGTCTCCTCGAGCTAGGTCTATCAAAAAAAGTATTACTTTGAATGACTTCCTTCATTCTGCCTATACGTAGAGAAACATCGAGTACATCTGTGGTGCACAACGTTTTCCTCCTAGAGGGCCAAATTGAAATTTCGGTTCATGTTCGAGGGTCTGCGGCCCTCGAACATGAGCCGAAATAGGCCACATATACAGGGTTGTGCAAAAGTTCCCGTACACTTTGATTAGCGCTTCGATTCTCTTTAGGCGTCATAGCTCCAGAGAAAAACATTCAAATAAAGACTGAAATTTACTATAATGAAAACATTTCGTATCAAAAATGTCCGTAAAATTAAAAAAAAACACATCAGAATCGCCAAAAATCCGTTGATTAGTGAAAAAATTAGATTTTCAAAGTGTATGGGAACTTTTGCACAACCCTGTAAATATAGATCTGGCCCCTTTGATGAATGAAGGCATCAAAGGGGCCGCAGAAAAGGTCGCCACGGGTTGTACATCATTGGAGTACAGGATGAAAGCTTCTGCAATACCATCCATTAGCATTTGGAGAATCGCGACACACACTTGCGAGTTCAGCGCAACCTCGCTTATATTGTGGGAATTTTATTCTTTATTGAATGAACTGCTTGATGTCAGGCCAGATGGAAGGCTTCAACGTGCATGCCCGCCTATGCAAGGACATCCAAAGATAGACCGTGAGAAGATGCTCTTTGAAGTTCCTTTGTCGAACGTCCAATGGATGTTCAAAGACGGACTGACATGTTCCCTGTCCCCGGAGAGAGTGGACAGTGCAGGGCCTGGGTTTCAACCGATTTCGCGTGCCTATGTGCAGATTGACCGCAGGTGTTTTGAGCACCTCTTCCAAGTGTGAAAAAGGAAAAATATAATGCACTAATGGTCGCACGCACGTCATGTCAGCCATTGTTTATGAGGCACATGAATTTTGAGGCGTGCGTTTTTGGCCGCACTGGGTTGTCACGCTCTCAATCACCCGTATCTCTAGAACCAGTGAACGGATATCGTTCTAATTTAGCATCCATATGCTCCTTTGATGTAGCAGTCAGCCCTCTAGTGTACAACGATATTCCGAACCAATTACGAGTAGCTACAAACCGAATAATGTTCAATATTTTTTTAGACAGTCCCTAAATGCATGTAATGAGACGGATGACGACAGGGGACAGGAGCGCTGACGGACGTGCTCCCCTTGCATGAAGTCTCTTCAGTTTGGCGGTACTTATGTATCAATTTTCACCTTTCTATCTCTGGCCAATTCGCTAGGATAAAAAAAAAATTTGAAAACGTCCCCCAACAAAGTATGCCCCCAGGGCATGCATCTGAAAGTTGACATTTTCCCTGAAATTTGTGTCTCAGTAGGCACGTCCATGCCAAGTTTCAGCTTTCCATGTCTCTCCGTTGACTGAAGCAAATATATATAATTGAAAACCTCCCCCCCCAAAATGGGTGCCCCCAGGGCATGCACCTCCAAAGTCTGATTTTTTCTGATCTCTGCATCCCAAAAGGTACATGTGTACCAAGTTTCAGATTTCTAACTTCTCTAGAACATGGTTAGAATTGGCGTCAGTCCATCAGTCGCGATCGTCTATATATATTAGATAATTTCAGTGGTACAGGGGCCAGTGGAATGGCAGATCTGTACCTGGACTGGCACACTCTAATTTGTTCTGTGAAGTTTGCAAATTTGAAGAAGATATATGGTTCTGCGCATCCAGAAGACACGGCCCCACGACTCGAGGAGATTCCAATCATCCAGAATGAAAACTCAAGCACAACTTTTGCATTTCCTCCAATAAATTTATTCATTCGCTGCAGGCATAGTGGCGTATTTTACTAAACACCGGAAAATGTGGAACGCTACGTGCACCAAAGGCTTTGCAGGCTGCACCCTTGCAGGCTGCATACACACGGCAAACGTGATCCGGGTGACTCGAATTGAGTGAATGCAAACAACTGGGGTGAATCACATCGCATTTCAGGTCATCGTCTTTCAATTCCTCCATTTTCAAATCGAAATACTATAAAACAAAATTTCTATGTAAAAATACTTATTCGTTTAAATCACTCACATATTGCTGATACATTCAAGATGAGGAAAATGGCCGTTTTGCGAACAAAACCGAAACAAAAGTCAAACTTCTCTCTCCTCCCAAAATCACTTTGAAATCCAAGGTGACCCAAAGAGTGTCGGCCAAGAAATTGCATGCAAATCCCAGGAGAAAAAATGTTAAATGTATTGTCTTCTCTCGTGTCTTTTGCAAGGTGTATCCTGGATTTTTCTCCGTTTCCTCTGGTGCTCGCTGAAACAAAAAGTATTCACGTTCAGGCCTCCCGTACGGAGTGAAACTTGGGGAAAGGCACGCAAATCACCACAAAAAGATACATTTAAAAATGGTTGGAAGTGCCTAGGGACGCAGCATCGTAGGAGACGTATCTCGCGTCTGTCAGATCGTGTTTGCGGTCATTGGTTTTTGCAGTATTCCATGACTTGTGAATTCTCTTTCTGGAAGCTAAAGATGGACACCACCCGTTTTTTAACAGCTAAATTGTCTCTCATTTTGTTGTCATGCTAAGATTGCAGAAGAGTATGCAATATAGTTTCCTGCATTATTTTAAGAACAAAAGAGGTTTAACTGTAAACGATACATATGGGGAATGTGAATGCGATATTTTTCGGGAGTAGACTTTTCTTGACCAGTGCTGTATATACGTGAATTAGTTGGATACGTCGATATAATTTAGTTCTTTACTTTCTTTCATCTAGCCCTGCTATGCGGTGTGGCATATAGATACAAATACATAAATAAAATGATGACAATTATGAAACTACATTAAACTGCAACGTAGTTTGAATCCCGAGAAAGTCCTATTTGTACGAGTCCTCGCAGCAAACCAAGAACGACAGAATAATTATTTTAAAAATTTAAATATACTCGTAGGAATGACAAGCGATATCACCTGAGGAACCACATCAGAGCGATAGCGAGCGACTCGGGTCCCTCAAAAGGTAGTGGATGACACTGGATCCCCAACATCGTTCCGCGCAGGATGCTCGAGACCGTTGAAAGCAGCTGCCTCGACGAAGCACCTCTCGTTGGCCAGGGAACACACCGCGACGATCCTCGGCTGGGGCGTAGCCGGCCTCAGCTCCCCCGCGGCTCTCTCCTCCTCCTCCCCTGCTGCCTCCTCGCCGTCGTCCTCTCCACTCGTCGCCTCCTCGGCCCCGTCCTCCTCCGCGTTCACGTACTCCACCGGGGGGTCTTCCACGTCCACTACGTCCTCTCCGTTCGGGATGGCGACCCGGTCGATCCCGTGCGGGGTCTCCATCTCGGCACGCAGGGACAATACCTCCGCCATTCTCTCTTGCAGCCGGTGATAGTGAGATTTGTGCCCTACCAGATCCTGGTAGCGGACGAAGCTCTTTGTGCAATCGTTGCAAGTCAGCAATCGGAACTCCTCTTCCGATATCAGTCCGTAGAGAACGTACTTGGTACTGCAATTCTTCTCGTGGTGACGCCTCACGGTGTCCGACTGTTGCATCTTGCGGCAAAAAGAACAGGCGAGCCCCACCGAACTCTTGCGTGCGGTCATCTTTGGCCTCCCGACGGGTTTCGGGGGCGATTTGGGGGGCGGTCGGGATGACCCTGTCTGTGCAGCAACTCTTCCTTCCGTGAGGAAGTGGGACATTCGAATCTTGTGCAGGAACCACCCTCTCGCATTGAAGAAGGTCTTGTTGCAATGGGTGCATTTCATCAAGTCCACCTCCTCGGCCGACACTTTCCCCTTCCGAAGAAGGGTGCGCGGACACGCAGTGGAACGGTGCGCTTTTAGAGTCTTCCGGTCCAAGAACCACTTCCGGCAGTCGAGGCACGGATGACCTGACGTCTCGTCCCCGCTGCAATCGTACACGTGATGTTTATAGGCATAGTAACCCGTGATCTCCGTCTGGCAGTTGGTGCAAAAGAAAGCCTGCTGGCTGTTCCCCTTTGCTGCCTGCTTCGATGTCGAAGATGGTCCCGTCTTCGGCGTACTATACGGTGCCTGTTGCAATTCTGCCTTGATCTTCGACAAGCGGCTGGCGTATGGCCTCGACGACTCCATCTTCAGAGCAGCTTGACTCGTAGAATTCCGCGACGTCTGCGTCTTGATGGCAGTTCGACCGATGGATGACCTCAACACCTCGAGCTTCGATGCTGTATGACTCCTCGATGCCCGCAGCGCTTGCATCCCAAGGGTAGCACTGCCGGTGGACGACCGCGGTTCTTGCACCCCTAGTTCGGGACTGCTAGTGGATGCCCGCAGCGGTTGCACCCCGAGATCGGAACTACTGGTAGACGACCGCGGCGATTGCATCCCGAGATCAGCGCTGCTGGCGGACGGCGGCGGCGACTCCACTGGCCGGCGCTGCTCCCGTCCACGGTTCCCCTTGATACCGTGGGAACGCCTCTGATGAATCACGAGGGTGCCCACATTGGGGAACACGCTACTGCAATCCTGGCATTTCCACTTCTTGGACTTCCTCAGCCGCTCCATGTGCACTCGGCGCCGGTGCACGAGCAGGTGACTCCTCGATGAAAACTGGCACCCGCACGTCCCGCAAGAAAGCCGGGGCCGACATCCCTGCTCGACGAATGCAAAGAAGCCAAAAGCTCCATGTGAATTTCGAAGCATGATAACTTTTAGCCGCTCCAACCAAAGTTATACTCAGAATCCAAGACATTTTTACAACTGACGCCAGGCCACACTGGAGCATCTGCCTAAGAACCCAGGGAATTTTAAAAAAAAAAAAACATTCAACTTATTTCTCTGACTGGCATAAAAACCTTGGAGAACACCTTGAGCTGAAAGAAAAGAATATGTCGACATTACCAATATTTCGTTAAAGTTATAACTTACATGATGGAGTGGGATGTTACTTTTCTAAGTTATATTCTCATTGCTTTTTTCCACTACTTGTTCCAGCAAAAAAAAAAAAAAAATAGTGAATAGCCTGGGGTGAACACCAGGGAATTCCCTCCAAATAAAAATGTATCCATAAGAAATGAATATTTTTTTCTAAATTTAACGGAGTCGCTTTTTGATGCCTGCATCACAGAGTCAATTTTGTGGAAAATTGAATTGATGGATCACTTCAAGTTCAAAGCTGCGGCTGCGACTTCTGGGGATCAAGTACAGGGATAAGATAATTTTACTCCGATGGTTCTGGACGTACCTGCTTGAAGATTCGAGGGCGGCCAGGACCCCTTCGAATCTGACCCTGTCCGGTCGCGAGACTGAGGTGTGGTTCAGCTTGACTGCGCGCTTCAAATTGTCCAGGCACTTGCTCTTCGGCTAATGTTTCCTCTGATTCTGCAAGACAGACATAGACACTTATGGTCGCACATCCACTCCCATAGTGACTTGAATTCGCAGAGCTAACGATTTTAACATAACCGTTCAAAAAGCACTTTTATAAGTCACATTGAATATGATACTCTCCTAGAACATCTGATTCATCATGAAGCAAGCAGGGCAAAGCCCATTACTGTAGCAAACATTTATCATGCATACCCTCATAACAGATATGAGCAATATGGGATGTTGTGACGAAAGGGGGGGGGGGGGGGGGGGGGGGAGGAAAGAAGGAATGCTTTCAGATATGAGCAATATGGGATGTTGTGACGAAAGGGGGGGGGGGGGGGGGTGAGGGAAGGAAAGATGGAATGCTTGCCAATCTACTCACTGTTCTTCTCTGAGAGCATGCAAATGTCTCATTCATTCCATGATAACACAGTAATAGAATGGAGTAGCTCCTAAACAAATTAATGTCAATTTCATTACATTTTAGAGCAGTTGCAAGAATTTGGTGAAGTGAAGCACAACAGCACTCCTGGAACTGTGACTGACAGCTTGGTGCTGACATGCACAGATGCACACAAGTACATATATAAAGGTGGTTTCTGTGCATGAGTGCCATCTCCTTTTCAAGAAAAAAGAAAATGAGGTTCATAAAAAAAAGGAAAAAATAAAAAACCTTTCAACACAGGTCAGGTGAAGAAATGCACACCCTTCACAAGACTCACGTGGTCTAGCAAGAATGGCAGATTCCATTGGTTGGTTGTCACCCTCCTCTTCTAGCATGACAACCGGGACGATATTGTTGTCATCATTGCCTGCAGCTTCTTCCTCCCTGGTGACTACAGAACAACATGACCAAGCACTCAAAAATGCTTCAGGGATGGTTGTCCATGGTTTGAGCGAGATCAAAACCAACTTTGATGGATGCTTAACACCCACTCATACCATGAGGAGAGAGACTTCGGTGGAACGAAGCAGCGACGGCATCGGCGAGGAAGTCGGCAAGGGCCATGCATCCGAGTTCCCGGGCAACCCCAAGGAGCTGCATCACCTTAGCCAGGGAATTCAGTTGAATGGTACCTCCATACAGGAGTGTCATCAGTGCTCGCACATTCTGAGTCTTCAGGTGCGGCAGCGTGATGGAACAGATTTCCCCACGTGGACAACTTCTCAATAAGTTCTGTTGAAAGATTATAAGAGCTTTCAGCCACTTGATAACTTATTCACAAATACACTTGCTCAATTGAATAAAAGAGATTATTCTTTTCCTCAATACATGTTACCTGGAATGACTTGAGGCAAATCACTGAACCATAACTGTCTCCTGTTAGTAAAATTCACTTCACCAAATTGAGCAGCAAAAAAACCTTGTCAGAAATGCCAATCCATAGTGTTCATCAATATGAACAAGGATTACTGATGGATTCAGCAATACATTGCACCTGAGATGCAATTTAATACACATTGAAGTCAGGCTTGGTTAAGATTCCCCATGAAATTAATAGTGCATTGTGGGAAATGCTAAAAAGTCTCAGTATTTTCACCTTTCATGATAGTCTTATTATAGAAAAAAGCTAAAGGGAATGAACCTTCTTTTCTATTGCGGAACAATGCTGGAAATGAAATGAACCATCAACTGAGCAACAAGCCAAATATACCCAACAGTAAAAGCAGAGACACGCAACTGCATTTGGAACCTCCAACTATTTTTTTACATGGTAACTGGAAAACGAGAAAATTAATAGAGAGACTAAGAGACTGACGCATAGGAAGGGAGATGCATGCTCAAGGATGGGCCGATGGCAGCAGATGGATCCATCTTCAGTGATCAACAGGAGGTCACAGAACCCCTGTGCCTCCCACAGGTTCCGCAACCCATCGCTATATGCCTTTCCTGCCTTGACCACCACATTCTGACCTATACTGTACCTCATCCTCTCATCACCACTCTACTGATAACTCTCCATACCATACTAATGGATCCACAGCCATTTGATCTGACAGAAGATAAGTTCAAAATTTGAGTCCAATACTGGGAAAGCAATAGTTGACTCACAAATTCATTTCACATAGATTGATAACAGACTTGAGAATGTACCTTAATTGAACTATATTAGGGTATCATGCAATGTTGCAAGAAAGTGTCTAACATAATAATTTAATTTATATCAAGTTGAAAAGAAACATTAATGACAGCACAATAAAATGCAAAATAAAATCCATAAAAATAGCTTCCCATAAAAATTAGAACCTCTCAATTCATAGAATAAATACCATGAAAGGAGAAAAATGCAAATCATGAATCTCATGCACACATATCATTCAGTCATCTAGCCTCTGGTAAACACACAGAAGTAATTAGCATTAGAATTATAAGAAAGCATAATCACAACATTTAGGGGGAGGGGGATAGTCCCCTCTCTCCACACCTCTGTCCTCCCACATGCAGCTGACACCATACACTATCTTAGGGTTATCATTTGGCGACTATGTGACATTTTAGTAGAACCTAACAAGCCAGAGCAAGTTGTGTTGCAGAAAAGCTTGACAATATTGTAACCAAATTAAATCTATTTAAAATTATATTTAATGTCATACACTATTACAGCTTGGTAGGAAGTTACAGCAAACAGTTGACCTATCAATCATGCAGTTCAGTTTTATTAATATTTTGCACTGGTGAGGAAGCATAGCTAAAGTATGAACTACGCTATTCTCCAGTAGAAAAGAGTTGCAAGCCACCTTTGAATTAGTTTGTCACTGGTTCACTCTGCACATGCCCAGTGAATGCACAAACCATCAAATCATGGGATAAAGAGATGAACAAAGTTGTATAACTCAGTTTCTTTGAAATTTAAATTAATATGGATTGTGAATGTGGCAAAAAATTCTTCTTGAGTAATGGAATCTCACCAGAGACTGTTGAGAAGCTTCCCACAGTTGGTGAGCTCAAAACAAGCATATGCTTATCTCAAGATAGACATGACAATGATGCTGTTACTGCAAGTAAATGCCAACAGGGAGGTGGTTGATTGATTCACAAACTTCACGTATACTAGAATGAACAAGACATGAGCATGCAAAAGCAACAAAGATTGCATTTTAAACAGGCAGCAGAATGCAAATAATAGTTCTATTCCTGAACAAAGTCAATTACAAGCAGAATTAAAAACTTTCCCTTCTTAGTAAAATGCTTTTCTTCTCCTCTTTCATCAAAAATCCAGCAACATTAAATTCTGCTTTGCTTTTTCAGAGCCTCTGCCATGGAATTCTAGGGGTAAAAGAGGTAAAACTAGAATGAGAACTGAGGAAAATCTAATCTCAAACATTCCTTCTCCAGAGATTCAGTATGATCTGCCAGTATGTAGACTACAAAAACTAATAGGGAGAAATATAATTCCAAGAGAACTACAGCACCACATCAGATGCCAACTTGTGTTCTGGGAGCTGGGGAGTATGTACTCTATCACCAAAGAGATGACATGCACCAAATCCACTAATCTGATCTCACAATGGACCCCTATGGGAATCAGTTTAACAGAGATAAACTTCTTCCCAAAGATGCCCATCATTAAAATGAATCAGTTTAAAGTGAAATGAATCTGGTGCATGTCACCCAATATCTAGGAATCTTTGCTGGGGCCTCATGAAAGAGATATGAAGGATCTCTAGGAAAGTCAAGGTCAGGATACTGAAGAAGTTGTCAAGTCTTTCCTCCCTCGCATAATTCTTCTGAATCCCCTGACTTTCTTTCTCAATCCCTCGTTCCTTCATGGCAAGTGCACACTTAATCAAAAGAGGCTCTGAATTTACCCTTCAAGCAGTTTTCACGTACACTGTGCATTCATCACTTAGGAGGTCAGGTCAAAACTCAGCTCTTGAAGGGTTAAGCATGAAAGTAGGATCTTTTGTGCACTGGTGGATGTGATACAAAGAGAGTTCTACTCTCTAGCAGAAATACTGGCACAATATGGGGAAAGGAGAAAATAAAATGTATGGATTATTTTTGGTTTTTTCATTTGATATATATTTGCAATAGTGGCTGAAATTGTGGAACACTTGAGAAAAGACAAATGAAAAATAATATTATTTGGATCTCATTGCAAAATCATTTCGATTGCACACATTGACAACGAAGTGGCAGTACTTCATAAGTGAGATATTTTAATGGTAATCAAAATATATGAATGGGCCTACAATGCAGAGTATATAAAAAACAAATAATAGTGTGGTATGAGAAAGCTATATAAATTGTTATATCAAAGATTCCCATACAACCACATTTTTATAGTAGCAGACACTATTCAATAAAATAGCTTATTCATTTAATTAAACTATGCTATATTTAAATTATGCTCAGCAAATGATGCACTTAGGCATTTAAGCCATTACCTATTAAATGCAAATTATATTATATTTTTAAAAATTTATCTGTTACAAAAGTCTCTGAATATCTTGAACAGATTGAATTACATGACCAAACCACATATTATAACCATTCTTCAGCTGATAAAAAATCAAAATATTGTTCTTGCTACGATAACTCTAACCATGAGTACCATATTTTAGATACATGGAATACTACAATATTTTGTCAAGTGTATCCACAATTTCAGCCTCTAGTATAATATTTTAAATGTATGCTTGTTGGCAATTAAAGCATACGTGATTTTATTGTATTGTGTCTGCTACTATTAAAAATGCAAAATGGTATGAGAATCTTTAATATAACCATATATATCACCTACTTTAGTCATACGACACTAATAATTGGTTCTTATATACTCTGCATTGTATATTTGCACATTTAATAATTTTGATTATGCAATGTCATACTATAAAAATGTCATTCATGAAGTACTACCACTTACGATAATTATCAATGACTGCAATCGAAATTATTTTGTAAGGAGATCCATATAATAACAATAATACTTTTCTTATGCAGATAATTTGCCTTTTCTCAAGTGTTTCCACAATTTCAACCACTAGTGTATATTCATATGATTAATTACATGCTGTTGCTTTGAGTCCAGGAAGCAGACTCACTAACTGATGCCAAATATAATATAATATAATCACAACCTTCATAACAGTAATGATCATCTTCATTATGTAATAGTCATAACAAAACCATAAAACTTCATGCTAACTGCATGAGAGGATCATCAAAATGTAAACCAGTCCTGACAAATATTCTTCCCAGGCAGCAAACATAAAGCAGGAATCCCTTTCATGCACAAATTACAAAGACAGGCTTTTCTGGGCAACATAAGCACTGTTGGAAAAACTAAATCATGTTTGCAATGTGCAGTAACAAGAAACAATGTATTTAAAAATGTCCTGTGTAAGAACAATACACTCAGTGCTTTCATGCACAAATTACACTGGATCATTTTAGCTCTTAACACATTGAGGACCAGGTACATGACACTTATCCAACTGCTGGGGACTAGTAATTTTTAGAAAAAATCGTTATTTTACAGGAATATTCATAACTTACAAATTACAGTACTTATATACATATTTCAAACACCATAATGCTCAAGAATGTTCACAGAATCCATTTAGATTAATGGGATCAGGAACACCTGAAAATTCTCCCACAATATAAACCTACGTGGGCAGTTCTCCATGTGTTCAAAAACACCAGTTTATGCACTGGCAAAGTATTATTTGTCCTCTGGAGAACTACTGGAGAAAATAATTTGGGCATTGGAGGCCATGGGCCACCTCCTGATGGCAGAAAAAGGTCAATAATGGCCAACATCCAACAGCTAACAAGTAGCAATCATAAGATCCAAAGAGACACAACAAAGAGACATTCAATCCAGGTAATTCATAAAATCCATCAAATTGATTCAATACCTGATACATATTCACCTGTAATCCATAAATTAAAATGCAACATAAAAAAAGGCAGTTATTCAGATTTGGGCAGACTTGCAAAAAATCTCAATTTTACAAATAATTGATCCTCACAAAAATGAATGAGAATGGATTCTAGAGTAATTTAAGAAATATCAAATATTCAGCTGTCATTCTGAGTATATGGCCAAATACCATGCCATAATCAGCCATACTTTAACCTGCATATTTGATTTTTTCAGTTCATTTAGTTGCAAAACACTTGTCAGTTACAGAAGAAAGTCTTCACTTTGTTCCATAATAAAGAATTTCAAATTTTCATTCAGGCTGACTCCCCCTTTGCATGAGCTGATAAAGAAATCAGTGTGAAGCTTGGGCAAGGATAACTAGCAAAACAAGGAATGGATGCAGAGGGCAGCACCACTGAGGATGCCAGCTCCTTTTCTTCCCCAAAGCTCCTTAGCCATTTCACCACCTTAGTTCAATGTTCTATCCAATATTTAAAAAAAATTGGAATTGGTCCAATACCAAAGCAATTACCTACATAATAGGCACTTCTGTGGGATGTGTCGCTATTGCATTGAATATTATGACTGTAGGTTCACTTTAAAGCAGAAATGGTGAAAGTTTAGCATAAACCTTGAGAAGGTGCTGAATTTTGAAGCTATTTTTTAAAAACTTACATGACCTACAAACAGAACTTCGATAAGCTGATATGATTTGGCCATTATTGAGTGTCTAACTGTGAAGCTTTGCCATGGCAAAATCTTTTGACCCTCATAGTGCCAGAGTTGATTAGATCAACACCATGAATTTCATTTTTAAAAGTGCCAGAAGTGAAGAACTGTCAATAAAAGGATTAAGAAATGTATTTCACTAGAGGGTTTGATCAAGTTTATCCCCTCACTTCAATGCATCTAGAGCCAGCTCTTCAACTCTGGCATTTTAAATGAAATTTGTTGCTTCGATTTAATCAAGTCTGCCACTAAAAGAGTTGCCACTAAAAGAGTTGCCACTAAAAGTGATTTAATCAACTTATTCAAGCAATTCATTGACATGGGTTAATTGGCATGCATGCATCAAGTTGATGCATTATGAGCATCCCAATTAATACAAAGGAGATGACAAAAAAGAGCAATGACTTTTAACCTGAC